TGATGCAGGGCGCGGGTCCGATTCCTAATGGGTTGTGCGCTCCCAGAGTTGGGTGGCAACCCAACGTGCGGAGGATTTGGGGAGGGATAGAGAGAGCATGGGATCCCACAAAAGGATAGTGTTGCCACACGTGGCGGTAGGAGGTTTCGTGAGCCCACTGCGGTGGAAACTCGGTGCTCGAGGCAGTGTCGCCCGGGTGGCGGTGCTTACGTGGCCGATGATTGCGGGTAGCAGTGTCTGAACGCGAAGTTTGGTGGCGAAGGAAAGATCGATTAGTGTTAAGGGGATAAGGCTCCGGCTACCGACGGCTGTGGGGTGCTGGGAGGAAAGAAGTGAGGAAAGCATAGAGGGAGCTAATGGAAGGAGGAAGAGGGGAGGAGGGCGAGGGAGAGGGTGGCTTGGCGGAGAAAGCAAAGGCGGCGTGGGTGAGGGAGGGTCCTCTTATGAGACACTCGAGAAGGCTTCTAGAGGAGCTTTAAGAAGGTTCCGAAGTGTGAGACCTCGTTCCTTTGCTGTTGCATGTAGCTGCCTTGGGGAGAAAAGGAAAAGGGTGGAAAAATTTTTCCCAGGATCGTCCGGGCCGATTGAGAGATCGTCCAGGCCCGATCTGTACTGTTAGAATAAATTCGTCCTGAGAATAGTTCTGGGAGTCGTCCAGGACGATTCAATTTTGGATCCTGATCGTCCAGGACGATGTTGGCGATCGGCCGGGCGCCATCCCACTAATGATATAAGAAATGAGCTCGTTTTGAGGAGAGAGAAAACATTTTTTTTAACCTCAGATATTTTGAGGAGAGGAAGGAAAGCGCGCGGAAAAGCAAAGGAAGAAGTCTGATTTCGGGGTCCGCGGACGATTTTCGTCGTTCGTTGCTGTTGGATATTTTGTTTGTAATCGGCTGTAAGGATTCCGAACCCTAGCTTCTGTTTTCAAGATTTTGAGATTTTTTGCGAAATGTGTTCTCGGGATTTGTGTTTTGTATATGATTTTCGTACCCGGTTTGGTACTGGCAAAGGATTCCCGCGTAACTTTTGGTTGTTGCTAGACGTGATTATTCTGCATCAGTTTTTGATAGTTCCAGATTTCGTCTCTGGTTCGTTTTGGTTCTGCGGAGTTTATTTGACTGCAATTTTATTATTGATGTCCGAACTTGTGTTGAGCAGTAGGAGAATAGTCTTAGAAATGTTGCTGTGCACGTTCTGTATTAATTTGGTGAATTGTATTTATTGGAGATTTTTGTGTAAAATTTGCCCCGACTGCCCGTTACTCTGCCCGATTTTTCGTACGTTCTAATTTTGTTGAAATGATAGATTGAATTGAATATGTGCATGACTATTGAATATGATCGTTTTCCGATTTCTTTTCATTATTGATTATTTGCATCGATTTATTGCATTGACTGAATTGATACTGAAAGTACTAAGTGGAGAACCTGGTTGAACGTTGGTTTGAAGATAGATATTGACCTGTACAGTGATGTGCGCGACGCGGCTTTTTCCTTTAAATCAAGACATAAGATCATCGATATAACGATTTGGGAGTTATAAGGGAGTTTATAGCGACGGGCCGACCGACTGCGGCAAAAAGAGTGGCGATCTTCTGATAAACCAACGTGCTGGGATTATCTTACAACAGCAATACGGAGTTCTATCAACAGCAATACGGATTCTACACAGCACTATTGATAATAGGCAGATTTTACCTGGTTTGGATCATAGCTAGTGTTGTGTGCTTGTCGAGTAAGACCAATGTATGGAATTGCATGTGCCATCGTATAGGATTTCCTGTTTGCATTGATTTATTGATTTCAATTGATTGCTTATCGTCCGGATTCATTGATTTCATTGATTGATTTTATGTATTTGAATCATCGAGCATTGATACTACTATTGATTATTGACTATTGATTATTGATATTGATTGGACATAAGATTCCAAGATTCATTTGATACCATTGATTTATGCATTGATTCGACCTGCTACTGTATAGATTATCGTATTGTCCCTCCGATTGATTGATGGACTTGATAGTATAGACTGGAATTTGATTGGATGATCGATTGACCGGATTTATTGATTTATGTATTGCTTTTCCGAATTGATTTTCTCGACTTGATTGATTTCATAGATACGGCACTAATATTGAAATATTGATCATCGTATTGAGTCATACGAGATTGACACTGATATTGATATAGATTGTATTGATCACCGGCATCCGATATTGATATGGGATTCTGTGTATGATAAGAATTATCGACAGGCGACATGAATATAGATTGTACGAGATAAATACCGATATCGACATTGGATAAGATATGGATTTGAACATTATGAATATTATTGATACGACAGATCCTGATAGGTTATGATATACAGTTTGATTCGTCGTGCCGTATTTACTATTGACTCGTCGTGCCGTTTATCGATGGAGTTGATTGAATGCCGGTATGGATTTGATTTATCGTAGAATTGATTTCTCTATTGATTTCTATTGGCCTGATTGATTTCATTTGATTTGTTTGATTTCGGATGATCTTTCCGCCGTATGGATTCGGATTGTTTATTGGGACTTGAGCTGATGATTGATAAATTGACTGGAAAGTGCTTACAGATTGAGTATGTTTCCCTACTGTAGCATTCGTACGTCGTCATTATTGAATCCGTCGTAGTATCAATTGAACCAATTGGATTGACTGTTACAAAGAGTACGTTCTGATACGAGTCCCTTTATTGAATTAATTGACGCTATTTGATTGCCTATTAACTTGATACAGCACACCCTATGAATTTGATGTGATGATATGGATTACAAATGAATTGATTAGACGGATACGGACTAGACGACACGATTTGATTGAACTGATAAGTACCTTGATTGATAGATACTGCTACGTGCTACGGGATAGATAGTAAATTGGAAGATTACTGATTGAATTTCTGCGGCATTGACTATTGAGTATTGATGTTCCGATTCGATTTGATTTCCGTAACATGCTAGATTACTTGATCATAGCTGACTTGACTCGATTGACTGCATATTGTTTCGATCGATGCTTTGATTTTTCAGTTGTAGGCTTTTGGTGACCTGCTGGTGCTTTGTTAAGCCATATATTGTGTTAATATCAGGTGCTGGGCCTCCAGTCTGAAGATCTTTCGTCGAGTTTGTCGCTCTTTGTTTTGTAGCCTTGGTAGGCTTTCTTTTGTAGCCCGGTTGCGGCTATTGGTATATGACCTCTTGGACGTTTTTTTTTTGTCTGTGCTCTGTTGTACTTATATGTGAAATTAAATATCCGCTGCTGTTTTCTTTTCTGTAATGTAATTATCTCTGGCTCTGGATGTAGTATGGATGCGATAGATGAGGAAACCGAAAAACTGAAAAAGAAAAAAAAAAGAATGATATGATCGATAAAATGAATCTTTTCGCTACCCACGGATCTTGGGTCGTCATACGAAGGTCGTGGCGACGATGGAGGTAGTGAAGGAGAAGGACAGGCGATCTCATGTAATTTTTAAATTTAAATCTTAGAGCATTGTTTTGGATGCTGCAGCATTTAAAATAAATTATGTTTGTTGCATCCTGGAAAATTGCGGCGGTAAAAAATATATAGTTTAACATCATAATTTTGTACGAAGATCCAGCACACAAGCAGAAAGAGAGAGAGAGTGTGTTCATAATGAGACACAGAGTTTTTATGTTGAAACCTAAAAAGAGGGAAAAACACGGGGCCTGGCCAGTTTGAATGAATCCACTAGTGCTTGCAATGATTACAAAATGATGCCTTTCCTTAGGAGGAAGGCCTTGACTCGAAGTAGCAAAATATACATCATATAGACTGTATTGTATACGGAGTTGGAAGAATCAGTGTTGATATATTTTTTGTGTCTGGCAGCAAGACCATAGTCGCGAGCGAAAGTAGATGGAAGAATCATATTCGGCGATGACGGGGGTCGGAAGAATCATATAGCGGCGAGCGACATAGGTTAGGACCGTTGTTTATGGCGATGAAGGTCGAGGAGGATCGTAATCGGTGGCTACGAAGGTTGAGAGGACCGTAGTCGGCGGGTGAATGTAGTTGACGAGGACGGAGTTGGAAAGACCGTTGTATTAAAATAGAGGTCAGAAGAATCGTAGTCGGCAGGCAAACTGAGGGTCAGGATGACCGCTGCGGATGAAGTTATTGGGAGGATTGGCGGATGTCCATGCGTGGTGCGAAAAGAACTCCAGATGCAGTCAGGAAGAATTCCAGTGATGATCGAGCGAACGAGCAGAAGTCCGGCGATGGTTGACGGACTAGCGGAAGTCCGACGGCGATATCAACTGGTAGAATGTCCGACGGCGGGTCGACGGACTGCAGAAGTCCGTCGGTGGTTGGAAATAACTCTATGGCGGTGGTCGGGGAGGAACTCCGGCGGTGGTCGGGATGAACTCCTGTGGTGGTCGGTCAAGTGTCAGGGCGACCCGACCGACCCGGGATGAATCCCGCTCGCACCGGGCCGCGACCGAACCTTAATTCCAGGATCTGGCTTTGGAATTTGCTTACTGAACTGAATCTTCCAAATTATTTCAACTCATAAACCATCACACAGGACACAGACCAGAGCTACTATGATCGTTCAATTGCAGGGGAATAAAACATCTATTTTTTCCATTTCTTTTCTCAAAACAATTCATCTACAAATACGGTAATGGCCTAACAGAAAAAAATAACAGAAGAAAAGTCTATCATGATGACCGTACCGAAAATCAACAGTACAAAATACTATCACAGATCAGACTCGAACTCTAGTCCTGGACTTCCTTCCCTTTCCCCAGAACCTGAAAACCACCATGAAAAACGAGAGTGGAGCTCAACAGCTCAGCAAAGCAAACAGAACCTCCAATCAAATTCTCAGAATCTCAAAACCAAACTCATCAGACAAGATCCGTACAAAAAAATCAGAACAGAATCGGATAAACATATATCAAATAGGACAGATCAGAATAAAATAGATCAAATCAGACAGAAACTGAAACTGAACAAATATCAAAGCAAACAGAAACTGTAGCGGAAACAGACAGTCATATAAATCAGAAATCAGAAGAATAGACTATCAAATCAGAATAGAATTCGACAAAAATCAGAAGTTCAGATCATTATCGGAACAAAAACAGGAATCGTATCATACAGATCAGAATCAGATTCCTATCGTACGGAAATCAGAATCAGATTGTTACAGAACTATACGGAAATCAGAAATCATTCAAAATCAATATCAGATATTATTTAATTCATAGCTAAATACGCCTGACACTGACGGAATCTCTACGGATTCCCGGCCCCTTATGCCTCCCTTCCAGACCGGCACCTGATGTCGGAGTAACAATATACAAAAGTTAGCGACGGGTAAAAAACTGAAACCCAATCAAAGATACGCGACGAAAATCACTTAACGGAAAACAAATCCGGTACAAGAAAAATACCGCCAAACACGGACGGTTTCTGAAAATTGAGAAAGGCGAATGTGCCTTACCTTGCGTACAGCAAAATCCTGAACAGTCTCTTCAGGACAGAAACGGCTCTCGCGTCGTCCGAAAATCAACTTTTCCAATTTTTACCTCGACTTCTCTCTACTCCTCAAAAGATATTTTCGTTTTTAATAAAACTTTTCTTCTCTTCAAAACGTCTGATTTCAGCTTTATAAATAACTCAGATCGGCCTGGGCCCGTATGCCCAGACTCGGCCCGGACCATCGCCAGATCGATGCCCAAGACGATCAGACAAATTCGCATCGTCCTGGGGACGGTTCCCAGAACTATTTTCCGGCCGATATTTTCTACAGTGCAATCGGCCTCGAAGTCCAAGTAACTCCTCGATCGCCCTGAGACGTTGCCTACAGAAAATCACCTGGAACAAAATCTGGGCATATTGTGGAGAGACAGAATTTCTCAACTGATCGTCCAGGACGGTACTCCCAGATCGTCCTGGACGATCCTGGAGGCAGATCTGCTGGATATATACAATCATCCCCAAACTTCAGAAAAAATTGTCTGTCACTCGACGTATCTATCCACTCAGTCAACCATAGTTCAGTCAAGTGGTACGAGAGCTGTACTCATGTCAGATCTTTCTTCTCCAATGGGTCGCTTTCCGCGCAGTCCGGTGCTTCCACTGGACTTTTAACCACATGGGCAATTCTCTTTATTCTATTTCTTCTAACTTTCGCGACGTCGTACGCCAAAATAAATACTCTGGCTCTCTTTCTTGACGCACAGCATCTCCTGAATCTCAACCTCATCAGCATACTTCTTTCCAGAGTCTGATACCACTTTCCTAAAGTGGGATATGTGAAATACATTATGCACATCAGGCATCGAATCAGAAAGCACAGCTGTAAGCAAGATTTTCAATCCTTTGCCAATAATTTCAATGATATGGGCCAATCTACCTCAGACTTACTTACTCACTGACCAAATCTGCTCACACCCATTCATCCTAGCGCTGATTGACATACATCAAATCACCAACTTTGAAACTCACGACTGTGCTTTTTCTGATTGTAATACTTCTGCCTGATCTCTCTTAAAAATCTTTGGAAAATAACCAAAATGTGCACACTCGGCACGTCAACAATATACAAAAAGTTACGCGGTAAAAACTGAACCAATCAAAAGATACGGACGAAAATCGCTAACGGAAACAAAATCCGGACAGAAAATACCGCCAAACACGACGGTTCTGAAAATTGAGAAAGGCGGAATGTGCCTTACCTTGCGTACAGCAAAATCCTGAACAGTCTCTTCGGACGAAAACGGCTCCGCGTCGTCCGAAAATCAACTTTTCCAATTTTCACCTCGACTTTCTCTCTCCTCAAAAGATATTTTCGTTTTTAATAAAATTTTCTCTCTTCAAAACGACTGATTTCAACTTTATAAAACTCAGATCGGCCCGGCCGATCGCCAGATCGTCCCAGGACGATCAGACCAAATTCGATCGTCCTGGACGGTTCCCAGAACTATTTTCCGGCCGATATTTTCTATAGTGCCAATCGGCCTGGCCGAAGTCCTCGATCGGCCTGGACGATGCTTACAGAAAATCACCTGGAACAAATCTGGGCAAATTCTGGAGCAGATTCTCAACTGATCGTCCCAGGACGATCCCAGATCGTCCTGGACGATCCTGGAGCAGATTCTGATATTACAGCAAGAACTCTGGCAGTGGTCGACAAGAACTCCGGTGGTGTTCGATGAAAATAGAGCTCCCAAACTCCCCCTTCCTTCCCTTCTTCTCCCTCCTCCCCTTCATGTGAAGAATGAGAGCCTATTTATAATTTTTTGAGAGTGGCATGGCTTGTAAATATATGGAGGATCAAGGTTCAAATGGGAGTGTTTGAATGGACGGCCAATATTGATCCTCTTGATCATGGACCGTTTAATGGTCATTTGAAAGCCTTAATGATATCAGAATTCAGTGATCTTGGGCTCGTTGGATTCGTCTCCTCAAGCCGCTCGATTTGATTATAAGCATGTTACATTTGAAAACTGTTTGATAATCCAAATTGTGGTTTGAACCCATCAACAGCGCTGCATCCCCTTGATTTGGACCCATTTGGGCTTGGATTGAATCGAATTTGGTGTCGATGGGTTTGTCTTTCTGAGACGTTCAATTTGACTATAAGTTTGCTGAAATCGGAGCTCAGATGGTCTTTGATTTAATTTCGGAAGCTTCCAACTCAATTTTGCTTTGAGATTCGTGCCTGATCAAGATAATTTTTTACTGATATATCAATATTATAAGTTTATTTATAAAGAAGAATTAAATATTTAAGAAATAAATAATATTTCCTATCTTTAATTATCTTTAATATTTGTGTCTCCGCATTAATTTATAGTAATAATTGACATTACTACACCAACATTTCTTATGTTATCATATATTTATAAATATTGTACAAATTGTATGGCACAAAATTAATCTTTTATCAAAGCTATCATCTTCTATTTGGCATTCAAAGCCTCATAATTGTATTGAGTTCCTTCTTCCTCTAACGGTCGATTCTTCTTCTATTGTGTCATCCAATCCCAATGCCCATATCATTCTCAACACTTTTGAAAAATTTTAGGCTTTATTTTGAACGACTTTCTTACTGCTTCTTAAAGCAGCTTAAAAACTGTTTTAAGAAACAGTAAGAAAACCGTCCCAAATGAAACCTTAAACTCATTGTCATCAATACACCAACATACAAATCATACTCACCACCTCTAATTACTGTTCATGGGAATTTCAATTTCATAATACACTTATCAAGTAAGATTTTCTGATTGCATGGGATTTATTGATTGATCCTAACCAAGTCAAGCATAAATCTTATATAATGGTCAAATACTGAATCCTGCGTACTACTATGGATATTTCAAATATATAAAACTTATTTGAAAAAAAAAAAACGAGGATTTCATGTTGGACTAAAGAATTATTACATCAATCAATAAATATTATCCATTCGTAATAAATAATTTTTATGGTATATTTATTGCCACAAATCTGCCAATTACTTACATTAATGACACCTAAATCAATAAGTTTTCCATCAAAATACTATCATAATTCCTGACATAATTTTTCTTGTTAGTAAAATTCATCAGTAACTTAATATTTTCATGTCCCATTGTCCTTAATTGCCTACTCACTTTGCCAAAGCTCTCTCATTGCTCTTCATCTCCCTCATCTACCCTCTCGCTTTACCAAACCTCTCACATTGCTCTTCATCTCACTAATCAACTCACTACTTGTCTCCAATATGTCATCTATCCTGACTCACATAGTCTCCTTATATGTCATCAAAGCCCTTAGTCTGCACTCTGCTGCTTGTGTTTATCACATGCATTCATCAATGTCATTCTCTATCAAGTCCAGACATCAAAGATGTTGCATACCTCCTTATCATGGGAGGTTGCTTAGTCATTGTTATACAACTCGTGCTTCTTAAAAATTCCTTGTGAGTTTATATCACTTTTCTCCTCTTTCCTTGGCTATCAAATAGGCCTGGCAGACCTTGTGAAACCCCTTAAGTAAAAGAAAGCTAACTCTTAAGTGGGGGAGATTGTGAAACCACTAAAGTAAAAGAAATGTAACTCTTAAGCATTGAGGCATCTTTTGGTGTGATGACTGGAATTTCTGTAAGAAACTCTGTAGTTAATCACGCTCATCCTAGAGCAATTCTGGGATGGGTGACCTACTGGGAAGTTACACCAATTGGACAAACCGTGAGGCTCATAGGTCAAAACGGACAATATCTCGATAGTTAAGAGTTTGAGCTGTTACAGGTCAGAAGCCACAAATTTTGCTGATGTTGGCCCCTATATTAGCATGGCAAATTCTTTCCTCACGTAATTTAATGACCACTCTTACAACTACAATGATAATATTGGAACTATGAAGCAGTCATACTCAAAAAATACCAGCAAATCGATTTCAAACAGCCAATAGACACCATGCTTAGGCTATATACACTATAATAACACATGGTTCTTCCATTTCATTTTTTTACCCTAGGAAGGAGTGGTTCATTAATGTCAATCTCATTAACATTTAGATGTTCTTCGACCGAGCTCATCAAATCATCAACATGATCCATTTGATCTGAGCTGACATGGTTAGATTCAAAATCTTCTACTTTGCCCCAAAGTGTCCTATATACAAGCCACATACAACTGCAACTGCACCTAATATGATGACAATGAAGTAGTAATATATTAGCATCATAGATAGAAGAACCTGCATTCATTTGTAAAACAAATCTGCTAGTTTTCTAAATAATGTCATCTTATATATATTTATAGATTTAGGTGTTAATATTAAGTGTATATACCTCCCAAGATAGAGCCCTTCTTGAAGAAATATAAATGCCAATATGGCAGTGATGACTGTAGTTAGAGGATTGAACATTGCACAGTACAGGGGTCCCCTAACTGCTACGCACCAGGTTTGGAGATAAAGGTTCACAACTGTTCCAAAAATTGCCTGTGAATTCAAATTTTAACTAAGCAGTAAGTAGGCTTTTGAATTGTTATTAACATAATTTGATGACAACGCATAGCTTGTGCTTATACAATACTAGTTCATTAAAGATAATATTTTTATTCTTTATAAGTCTTCTACTTTTCACTATCCCAAAATTTATGGCTGAACTCATCTGCTCTATATCCGATAAAGTAACTTTGTATAATTTGACTCAAGTTTACCTCTCATAATATGATAACACAAATATATGATTAGCAGTTAAAAACTTTCAAATGTGATAACATACCCTTTCATTTTCATGCTTCTTTAAAAAGTCTAAAATAAGTGCAACTGATGATGTGAGGATCGTCGGAAGAATCGGATCTGTAAGAAGGGAAATCTCAATCCAGAGAAACAAATACAAACATAAGCTTCAAAGACGGTAATATTTCATCAATGATCCTGTTGACCTACGGATCAAACCCAAAAGAGCAAAGATGAGAGGAGAAGCAAAGTGAAAATTCTTGTACAAACAAGTCTACACCTAAGCTAACAAATGATAAATTATTCCTTAGGTGTGCTATAATTAGGATGTTCCTACATCAACTGATGCTCGTCAATTGATGAGATATTGAGATGTGACATTATATCCACCTATAAGGTCTTAGGAAGGCGTGTATGCCATCTCATGCTCCTTGCATATTCATTAAGAGTTGTATTCATTATCTCCTTAGTTTTATATGGAGTTCATGATAGTTATTGTATGGGGCTTAGTGGTTTTAAATTCTGTAGAGTCATACCCCCACTATTATCAAGTAATAGGCACTTGATTTTATCTTTAGATTCGTTCTCCGCTAGGTTTTCTACTTCACAAAGTTGAAAATACATCAAATACAATTTTAATTCTGTAAATCCATATCTTCCTAGTATTACCATTTATGAAGCAGACAGAGAATAATGGTCCCACCAAGGAAGATATAAGGGATGGCACTCATATCACTGTATGTAGGGGTGTCAATATTTGACATGACCCGAAAAACCGGCACGAACCCGACTCGTTTTTTACCCGAAAATCGGAGATTGGCCCCTTTTTTTACCAGAAAACTAGCAAATTTTGGTCGGCCTTGGGTCATTCGGGTCATGTCGGGTTGATCCGGACCCAAAGCGGGTTAGGTTCAGGTCCGAAAAATCAACCCGTTTGCAAAAACGGGTCGAGTTCAGGTTGACCCGAATAGTGTTGGGTTAATTCAGGGTTCGACCCAAACCAGACCCGTGTCCCGAAATTGGCACCCCTAACTATATGCACTAGGTTTTGCCTTTTTGGTCTCTATGTCTCTCCCAATCTCAGAGAGCAACACCCATCTTTTACTTGTTTAAAATGCAATCTTCACATAAAATGCATTTAATAGACTTTAAATTTGAAATTTTATATTTGAAAAAATTCTTTTATCATTTCTTATTTATATGGCCTAGCCTAGCCTTTAACTTACACATACTTGAATAAAGTTGTGGAATATATTGATCTTTCATAAAAAGTCATAGAACTATTTTGATCATTTCTCTATTAAAAACATAAGAAAATGCACATTCACCTTTCTCATATTATTTGATATCCTTTTTGGAGATGATATCTCAAACATCAATATGGTTCATGGCAAATGATGTATACGAACTATTGATGGCTATTATAATGTCATCCAAACTCTCAAGCATCAATGAGAGCAAGCTAGCTTAAGGCGTGGATATCATCATTTAACTAGATGTTGTGGTTCAATTACTGTGTGATTGAGGTGAGCTTGTCTATGTAATCGAAGCCTAAAGCTCTTTCTAACATCCTAAAATTAAATAACTTGGACATATGTACCTTGATAACTGTAGAAGGCTTTTCAAATTTATCAAAAATTGTCTTCACAATGCCTGTTGTCGTACTCTCGTTGAGGTGATTATGCTATGTATCATACAGTTAATAACGAAAGGAACATAATCTCTATAATGAGGAGTTTCTTTTTGATCAATTAATTAATAACAAATACATAGTTATTATAAACTAACTAATCAATTAATTATAATTAATTAGTTCATATATTTTTAATTTATTACAAGATATAATTAGTAATTTAATTTTATTTGATAAATAATAATCAATTATTTATCTATATAAATAAATAAATACCAAGTGACCAAAAACTAAAGTTGGAAGAGGTTACCGAAGTTATCTTCCAAGCGCTCATATTTGATTCCAAGTAGAATGTAACAGTTGCAGACTGGAAAACTGATAAGAAGCAAGTCCATGTTGTCACTGATAATGGGTCAAGAAAGTTCATGCAGATTGGTACCTATAGAAATGCACGAACATAACAAAAATGACACTAATCTAAGAATTTTTTACATTGCATTGACTTGTAATAAATATACCTGTAGAATGAACCATAAAGACCGAGAAAATGTGCTTCCAAAAAAAAAAAGAGGAACTGTGCTTTTTTTTTTCTAACTGTGGTTTTTGTTGGAATCTCCATGCCTACAAGTCTTTGACCTTTTAGTAAACCCATTGACATTGCTCCATCAACACAAATGATTGTTCCAAAGATTTTAGCGATGCTCCTTATACTCCTCAGATTCACCTTCTCTAATCTGGTGGCGTTACAAGTGCAGAAATTGGACCTTTTTTTGTTTTTTGTTAAATAATAACTATACTAAAAGAAAATAAACTTGAGCAAATGTGACCTAGAAACACTTTTTTTAGCAAATTTAATCACAACATACAAACATCAATGTTGGCACTCAATCCTGCATGGCAATGAAAATGTCGAAGTGATACGCCTTGAAGACGAAAACATCAAGAAAAGATAGTAAAAACAACACAAATTGAGAAATAAGGCTGATTTTTGAATTAATACTTCAATACCAAAGCAAGATACAATGATCTACTAATAGAGAGATAGATCGTCTCTCCCCCTTGACCTAGACGCCGCTAGGAAGCCCTCAAGAGAAACTTCAGAAAAACTACAACAAAACTCACAGACAAAACATAAAAAACGAATCCTAGAATCAGCCCTAATTAAATTCCCTAATTCCACCAAAATTAGCCACCTTCCTTAATTAATTTCCTTCCTTTCTCTATTTCAAAATTATAATTCTTTCCTTTATCATTTGCCTCTTTATTTCTTCTTCTAATGCATTTAATCAAAAGCTCTGCTAGGCCCCACAAGGGGGGCCGAACCTATTGTCTCCACCCATGGGTTGTCCACCTAGTTCTGCTGGATTGGCTTTTGTTGGGATGGATAGTTGAGCCGGCCGCTGCCCTCCCCTATATTTGTCTTCCCCGTAACAATACTCCCCTCCTCAAAATTTAACTTATCATAAAGGTGAAAGGTAAGGAACAGTCTTCTGATTATCTCGTATAGCTCCCACGTGGCATCATGCTCTTGCACATGCTTCCACTTGATTAGCACCTCCCGTGTCCCAGTCACCGCTCTGCCCCCACTCGCTACTTCTAGAGGTTCCAAAATGACCTCCATGTCCTCTGTCAAAGTCGGAAGCACTGATGAGGCATGAAAGACTAGGTGTAAAGCTAATGAGGGTGGTAGCTTTAAGCAATAGGCTACTACTCCAATATGCTCTAATATCTCACAAGGTCCAAAGCACCGTGGGGATAACTTCTCATTCCTCCAAACTAATGTCTTATGTCTGTAGGGCCTCAATTTTAAGTAAACCAGATCTCTTGGCTCGAAGTTTACTTCTCTTCTGTTCTCATCGGCCTTCCTCTTCATGATTTGTTGGGCTCTCAATGTCCCTTGAGCTCAGACAATACACTATCCCTCTCGGTATTGTTTTACAATGGACACGGTTGTGGTGCTCTCCCCATTATGAATCAGACGGGGTAGATCTCTCCCATAGAAAATCCTGAAAGGAGTGGTCTTCGCTACTTAATGGTATGAAGTATTATACCAATATTCTGCCCAAGAAACCCACCTTGCCCAATTCTTTGGCGTGTCAGAGGCAAAACATCTCAAATAGGTCTCTATACTTCTATTGGTCACTTCGGTCAAGCCATCTGTGTAGAGGTGATAGGATGTACTTCTCTTTAGAATCGTCCCCTGCAATCAACTCTCTCCATAAGTGGCTAAGGAACACCTTGTCCATGTCTGTCACAATAGCTTATGGAAATCCATGCAAATGCACCACTTCATTTATGAAGACAGTAGCCAAAGTCACCGTCGTATAAGGGTGCCTCCAGGGAATGAAGTGTGCATATTTGCTCAAATGATCCACTACTACTAGTATCACCGAAAACCCTCTTATTGTGGCATTCCCTCTCTGAAATCCATTATTACTTCCTCCCACACCCTCTCTGGTTGGGCTAGGGGTTGTAGTAACCCTGCTATCTTCATGGCTAAGTACTTGTGTCTTTGGCACACATCGAATTTGGCTACCCAATCCTCAACATCACGGCGCATCCCCACCCAATATAATTCTGCTAATAATCGACTATAGATTTTCTGTACACCTGAATGCCCTCCCACTACACTGCCATGAAACTCATGTAGCAGCTTGGGAATGTATCTTGATCCTTAAGATAAAAAAAATCTCCCCCGATATAACAGCTAAACTCCTCTCAGCGTGTAGCCAGGATGACTATCCGGGTTCGGTAGCAACTCATCTATGATCTTCCTTAGTCCTTCATCCTGTTTACTAACCTATTTCAGAATTTTCCAATCTAGGACCAGAGGTACTGACAAAGCTGCTAACTGAGACTCCTCACTTCTCCTGGATAAGGCATCTATTGCTCTATTTTCTAAGCCTGATCAGTACTGAATCTCAAAATCATATCCTAGTAGCTTGGATAGCTATCATTGATGCTCTTTAGTGACCATTCATTATTCCAGCAAATACTTTAGGCTCCTCTGATATGTTCTGACTATGAAGTGTCTTCCCAGCAAATATATTCGCCACTTCTGAATAGCCAAGATAATAGCCATCAGCTCTCTCTCGTACACTGACTTGATTTTTTCCCTAGCTATGAGCACCTGACTGAAATAGGCAATCAGTCGCTGATCCTACATGAGTTCTGCCCCCAGTCCACATCCTAAGGCAGCTGTCTCCACCACAAACGATTTGCTGAAGTTAGGAAGTGCTAACACTCGTACAGTAGTCATTGTTTTTTTCAGTTGGTCGAAAGCCTATGTAGCCACCTCCTCCCACTTGAAGCTGTCCTTCTTCAGCTGCTCAGTCAATGACCATGCTATCATGTCATACCCTTGCACGAACTTCCGGTAGTACCTAGTGAGGCCTAAGAATTCTCTCAAATCCCTCAAGCTCTTAGGCGAAGGCCAATTTATCATAGCCTCAATCTTGGACTGATCCGTTGCTACCCCTGTCTTGCTCACCACATCTCCTAAGTACTCTAATTGTGGTTGTGATAACGAGAATTTCTTGAGGATGGCATATAACTGGCACTACAGGAAAATGACTAATTACCGGCGGACAAAACGAGAATAAAGGAAATCCGCCGAAAATTTTGGGTTTCCGGTGAATTTCCGGCGAATATTCATAAGATGATAATTCGCATGTAGGGAAGTTTTTTTAGGCTAAATATTTTCATCGAAAAAATTTTCGACGGATTTTTTGGCGCAATTTCTGCAAAAAAAATAAGGAAGCACGTCATTTTCTTTGAACTAATTCTTGCGTTATAGCCGCTAGTTTTTCCGGGGGATTTGTTATGCCGGAATTACCGACGGATAATCCGCCGCCCTATTCCGCTAAACTATTATCGATGAATAAAACTGGCAGATAATCCACCAGAAATACTAGCGTAATGAATCTGTCGAAAATTTATAAACATTTCTTCATATCGTAATTTCTGGCGGATTATCTGCCTGCAGCATAAAAAAAAAAAGCCTTCCCTCTTAGGAATACAACCTGGATACAAATATTCCAAAATTATATTCATTCAAACATAAACCTCTAATCAAAAGCATCACCAAATATTGAACATAAACATATAAACCTAAACATATATTCCAAATTAATTAACCAAACAATTTAAAATGAAATTTAAAGTTTATTCGTTTAAAATCAAGGTTGTGAAAACTGAACCGGACAATGAACCGAAAGAAAGAGAGATTCATAGTTCTACCGGTCGAACTGGGGTCGAACCGGATGGTGTAATAAATAATAATATTATTAAAAATTCATAACATTAACATAATAATTATAGTAGTCTAACCTCAAACCTTATAATTCTAAGAATTTAAACTATGTAATTTTAATATATTATCTCTAAATATAATTAAATTAAATTGAAATGATTAATATATTATAATATAATTATAATTTATAAGACATATAGCTTAATTATATTATCTCACATTCAAGCTCATATAGCATTCATGTAACTTTTTTAGTCCTACATCATGAGGGAGTATGAGATGGTTGCCTTTACTCTTTATATAATTCACTTATTTATAACAAAACATATTTAATGAGATGAGATGACATCCATATAGTATGATATTAAAAATCTCAATATTTTAAAAAATATATATATTTTTTTAAAAAAGTAATAAAATAAAATATATTATTTATATTTTATTTAAAATATCTATTTTTTAAAAACCGATCGGTTCTTTTGAACCTGGACCGGTTCACCGGTTGAACCACCGGTTCAGTCCGATTCAGACCCGTTCTTTGTGAAGCCAGTTTTTAAACTGGACTGGATCAGACAACTGAATGGTTCATGGTTGAATCGGTTGGCCCGATCCGATTTTTAAATCACTATTTAAAAATATACAAATATCCAAATACAAATAAGTGCAAATGTCAAAAAAAAACTACACAATATCTAATTTGAATCAATCTCCTCCTCTGTTGAAGCTACCTTCTTTCAACGCAACAACTACCTCATTTTCTGCATGTCATCCAACAATTGAGTTTGTTGCATCTAGACCTGCATCTGTCAGTCAGCTTGTGATTTTCTGACCTGTCAACTATATGAGGACTCCTGGGTACTTGCTGAGAAGCTGAAGCCACCAGATGTCTGCCCCTTATATGCATAGGCTTGCAAGCCTAAACCATAAACCCTATCATGTTACATTCCTCCTACTGCTTACGACCAAATATGGTAGTCAAAATATTCTGCTAATCCGCTAGAAGAACCCTCACCCACTACAACCTTGCTTTCTAGAAGTTGTGTATATTGCTCCTATAAAAGTTAATAAAAAATTTAAATAATTTAGACATGACATAAAAAATATTAAACTTATATACTTTCGTAGGCTTTAGGATGTACTTTATTCTTAGCAGTTTTCTTATGTTTATTTAAATACCTCTCAAAAGAATGCATCCATCGATACTGAACAGGTCAACCTACTGTAGCCTCATATGGTAAATGCACGGGTAGATGCTCTATAGAGTCAAAAAAATGCTTGAGGAAATATCTTCTCAAGTTTACACAGAATGAAAGGAATATACTGCACCATAAGAATCAAGTGTTATGCATTTAGTTTTGAAAAGTATAAATATTTGAAAAAGACACTTAGCTCGATCAAGGGCTTTAAAATTTGATCTGGCAGAAAATGTAGTTTGTGTGATAAAACCATCTAAGGCAAATCTCTTGTTCTCTAATCTTATCT